TGCAACCTGCACTAAAATATCTTTAAAACTTTATTAAATATGAACTTAGCATAATTGGGTGTTTTATACGAATTTTTATTCGCACAATATATTTTGAAATATTCATTTTCAAGTCTTGAAACGGCAGTATATTTTACATTCGAAGTATACGGTTTTGTAGAGAAAATGATGCTGTATAATCTGCATAGTGTTGGAAAATTTCAGATGACTTCTGAGCCATGTTTAGAGACAATATATAGGGAGCTGTACCCTTTTGGCATCCATGGTGGGCTAGGTCATGACAATTTTTTCTCATACAGTATTCATTTCAATATCATATCTAACATAGTTTTTAATGCTCTTTCCAACAGTATACTACACACTCGAGTTCTGTCTTCAGTAGTGTCTGTCTATAGAGTTTTTTGATAAGGGTCTTCCTCTGTCGTCAAACGCTAGAATTTCCATTTTTTTCAGTACACCAATGCAAAAAAATGTCGTTCATCGCGTAGAGAACAATTTGTTCTTTCGAATAATGTTTCAGAAAGGAAATGTTATATTGAGACGCGCGTGAAGAAAGCGAAAAAGAACAGTGGTCGGACAATTTTGACGCGTGAAAAATTTGTGATATATTTCTTTTATTTTTATAAAAATTGAATCATACGGAACTCAAATCTAAAACTAATCACAAACATACTAAAGACGATGGGCTACAACATGGTGCAAGTTGTAGGTCGTTAGCTACTCTCATCTCTCAGATATAGAATGAACACAAGTTTTCCACTAGGTGGTCGGACAATTTTGACAGCCACTGTACGTATTTTAGCTAATTCAAAGCTGATTGTTCAGTATATATGTTGCTCGATGTATAGCCTGATGGAATTAAGCCAAATTTTATTTTATTTACTAGTAAATATATTTACTTTACAAAAAGTAAATAGTAAATAATTTGTTTACTTTACAAAAGTAAATGATAAATATTTTATTTGCTTTACTGATTTGCTTTTTCAAAAAGTAAAGTAAATGTGCCACCTCTAAGCAACAACAATAAATGAATTCAAATAGTGATAAAAATGATAATAAATAAATTTCAATAACAAAAACAACACTAAATAGATTCAAATGATAATAACAACACTAAGTAAATTCAAATAACAGTAACAATAGCTACAATTATGATAAATTGAGAAATGCTTTAACGAATGAACCAATTAATTTGAGGATATCAATATACGAAGAATATTTCGACTAAAAATAATTAGGGAGTTCTAAGGTTACATATAATAAAAAGGAAAGTGTAAAAAATTTTCAGCAAGCGTCAACTTGACACTTTGTTTTCATGAGCAAAGTGTAAAACAAAATGTCAAATCAATATTGCAAGGTTCTTTGACACTTTGTAACAAAGGCGGACTCTTGCTGTTAGAAACACTGGTATTCGTTAAGGATGAACAGCAAATAATATTTCTCTTCATTCTGTCCATCGATATATACTGGACGATCAATCTGATTTTTGTTCCATTCTGTGTATCGATATATGCTGAACGACTAATCTGCTTTTTGTTTCGCTCTGTGTTTGTTTGTATACAACAGAGGGCTGCACTTTACAACTCGTTTTCTCTTACGATCTCTTCCGCCCATAGGACGAAGCGAATGACCGGTAACTAGTTTTTCTTGAATACTGACGCTTGAACGGTACTAATATCAATATATTTTAAAACTAGCTCTCCCAAAATTAAAAAAATCGCGAGATTCTCAAGATTTCAAAAGCATGTTGAATATCTTTGTAGCTATCCGAATGATGAAGCATACGACAATAATAAATAAAAACTAATAAAATAAAAAAGCTATTGTACAGACGTTGAACTGTATAAATTACATTCTGCAAGTGTTAGCATAAAAGGGCTAGGGAATTCCTATTTTATAGACGGAAAAATTTATCTATGCTATTTTCACAAGGGGGAAACAGCGATTTGTGATTTTGTGATTTAAAATGAGTTAGACTGATTTATCTGATTTCATTTTGACTTTTAGCTGATTTAGATCTGCTGTTTCCCCCTTGTATTTTCATAGTGCATTGAGGTAACGCTCGGTAAACTAACCGCAAACGAAATTTCGTCTCATTTCTTTAGGCCAGGCGCTTCCGCACCAGCTAAAGATCTTTGTATTCGATTAGCCACACCACAATCTATGTTGACCTGCAGTGTTTCAGTTAGAAACTACTTTTGGCCAAATAGTGAATGGTTTGCAGCAACAGACACTGGCTTCTGGTTGGTGATTAGCCGATTTATGGGGATTGGAAGCACTTAATCGCATTCAAAAACGTAACCATTCGAAAGAGTTCGTCGAGTTCTACTTGGAGCCAGTCGTTGAGCGAATCGCGACAGCTTTTTTTTGTGTTTTGCCACGTTTTTTAGCAGTAAAAAGAGGTTTTCGGACGGAAGGAAGTTGTTAGGTCGAAAAAAAACATGGCAGTGGACAGAACTCGCCGAGGTCTACTTGGAGCTAACAACTCCTGAGTTGGAGCCAGCTCCAGTGCGAATATTTTCAGGAGATACTCGAATCCTGGCCTAAGATATCCTACGTAATTTTACTTTATCAATAAATGATTCTATTTCACTAATAAATTATTCCATTTTACCACTAAATATTTTCAAAATAATACAAATTTCACTAATAATTTTTTTTTAATTTTAGTACTAAAATTTTTAAAAATAATACGGATTTCTTTTTCTTTTATATAATTCACATTTCCAGTTCAGGAATCAAATATTTTCGAAGTAACAAATTAATTTTCATTTTAATAATAAATATTTTGTGAAAAAGAAAACAAATTCTTTTATTTAATTCATTTCTTTTCATTTAACAAATAAATAAAAGAAAAAGAAAAGAAACATATAATGTAATCTTATATTTAGCTTTTTACTTTTCGTTGAAGTGAAAGAGTAAAAGAAAATTGCTTTTTTTTGTTCATTCATTTCAGGGCGTGGAAAAAGAAACGAACGAAGAAAAAACAATTCAGCAGTGTTCTTGGAGAGAATATCGTTGAATACGATGATTATTATTATCGACGACATAGAGTTTTCCATTTTGATCGAAAGTCAAACCAAAAGGGGTGATCAACTGATTTGCTAGTGCTCCTGCGCCATTTCCACCCACAACTACAGTGCCTTGTGTCGTGTCTCTTTTAGTAAAACGCATTACACGATGATTCGCCGAGTCTACTACATAGACTGTACCCGACGCATCAACGAAGAGTCCTTGTGGACTATTCAACTGTGTCGGAGAACACCCAAACCCTTTTCCTGCAGCAGCCAAAATACCTTGTGTTGCACCTTTTTTCCATTTCATTACACGATGATTGTTTTTGTCTGATACGTACACTGAATGCTCTCGATCGACAAAGAGATAAGTCGGGTTGCTCAATTGATTGAGCGCATTCCCACACCCACACCCATTACCACCAGCTACGACAGTGCCAGTCTGCTCACCCAACCGATATCGTCTTACTTCGTGTTTTCCGATGTCAGAAACGTAGAGATTTCTCTGTTCATCCATTGCTAATCCCCAACATTGTGTGTTGGAGATGAGTACTTCACCTTGTGTGTTATCTCTATGACGAGACCATCGTACAACTCGACGATTCCCCCAATCACAAATAATAAGACTATTCGTCTTTGTGTCAATTAATACATCAGTTGGCAGATTCAATTGATGCAATCCAATTCCTTGACCATTACCACCAGCAACAACTTTTCCACTCCTTCGATCACAGTGCTTCCATTGCATGATACGATGATTCCCGAAGTCAGCAATAACTACTGTTTGATTATCATCAACGAAGAGACCACCAGGCCAGAAGAGTTGATTAGCGGCATTTCCTTTTCCGTTACCTCCAGCAATAGTCATTCCGTTCGATTCCCATTCAGCATCAGCAGGAATATTAACTAGAAGAGAAAACATAAGAATGAAAGGAGATCTCTCTCTCTCTATCGCGTTGTAGGGTGGTGTGATTCTTCTGCTAATATATACTCACACACACACACACACCTAATCATGGAGATAATTAATCGAACAATCGAAATCGACCCTTAAGAATAGATCGCGAAGTAAGAATAGTTTTCTCCGTGATGAATTCCGTTATGGCTCTGCAAAAACTATTTAATACCTATCAATTGAAGATTTCTCGTACGATATACGGATTCTTGCTCCGAATCGCATTTCGTGTACGAGTGAAACTCGAATACCATGTAGTTTCAGTTCTTAATTTACGGATCACCAACACCGTTTTTTGGGAGAAAACAACCTGATCGATAGAAGAACACTTTGACTAATTCTGAAATTCAATCACAGACCAGTATGGCCTTCAGAATCATACTCAACCCAATTTCATCAAGTAAGTCATGAAATTTCTTCACTTGCTTTAAAGAGAAAATAGTAGACCGCGATTTTTCCACCTTTAACTGATTCTCCTTAGTTCATATCAATACACTTTTCTTGCAGGCGACGTCCGTGCTTATATGCCAAGAAAAAAGTAGTTCCGGAGCGAAAGACAATCTGATGATTCTTAGGAGAAACCTGCATCATGAGAGTAAAAGGAGAATTAATTTCATAGATGAATTAATGAAGAACACAATACAACACAACATTTCTCACAACACAAGAATGCAACAACAAAACATTTCTGCTTCTACGAGACGGATACCGTACCTGTGTCTGTCTCTCCCGACGCCGATCCCGTATTTGTGCATATCACTTTCGATTTTGATCCCCTGTTGGTATAACCAGGTTTACAGGTGCATTTTACATCAAATGTCGCATCATCATGTGAGCAATCGGCGTGTGGGCAACAATCTCCATTGTTGACAGTGCAACGGTCTGGAAAGATAGAAATCCCGAGGGAATGTGTCTAATCTTATCTGAAATCATCATACCTGTGCAGACAACATTGTCGTCGCTACCAGTGTTGGCATAACCAACATTGCAGGTGCATGTCATTGCACCTGTATTTGGGTCTTCTGAACAAAGAGCATTTGGATCACATCCACCATTGTTGTCAGAGCAGCAGCCTAAAAGAGAGTAGTGATTGTGATGATGTTCGTATCAGTGTCTGGACGGATGTCGATGTGGACATGGCTAGTGTCGTTCTTTCCTAGTCGACACGCAGACTTACCTAATGAGGAACAGGGGATGATAACTCAATTTCGGAGAGAGTCGGAATTACGTATAATGGCCTAGAGGTCCTGTTCATCTGAATTCCTGAATTTTTAAAAATTTGATGGAATATGTTCTGTACATGAGACAGGTTTCGAAATGTTCAATATCACGCCAAAAAACGTATTCTTGCTAGATTGAAGTGATATTGGCTGTCAGGAGATTTGATGTCGTAGTATTAAAGAAAAAGTTCCAAGAAAACCCATGTTACAGTAGGTATAGGTTGGATAAGTGTCGTTCGTAAATCTGCAAATTAATGTTATTGATGTGATTCGGCATGAGGCAATAGGGTGGAATGGCTAAGATCGAAATTATCGTAGAATATTTCACTTGCAAATGTTGACAACATCATAGATAGAAGCAGCAGTATCAACATGCGCTTGGTTCTTTTCTCAACCATACAGAAATGAATTTCGTTGAAAAATTCATCAGAAAAAGGAAAGTGAAAGCATTTTTGGGATTGCATGAACAAATGTAATTGTTGAACTTTATGTTATCAACTCGGGTTGTCTTAGATGACATGAAAGTGTCGCAAAACTATAACGAAAGTAAGAGAACTGGGCGACAGTTCTTATTTTGTTTAGGAAACAGGTCGTATCATCTAGATCAACCAATCTACTAGAAGTGTAGCTGTCACAACATGTATTTTCATTATACAGCAGAATATCAAAGGTCTATAAGATTTAATCTATAAAATTACTATGTGCAAATCCACCGCGAAATGCTTGTAACGAGAATACCAGCACTAGTAACCATGCATAAAGCAAACGACCATATAATGCCATTTTTGCGAATCAACAACTTCGATTTGGGTCAGTTGGAATGTGTTTTGAAAATGAAAAAAAAATCCGAGGATTTATGGTGCTCAATAAATCTGGCGCAGCGAGAGGGAGCACATATTGAAGAAGCAATTGAATGTGATCGCGTAACAGCTTGTGTCCATTAAGTTGCATGATTATTGGCCAACCAGATGTCACACATATGTGTTTGATGAATAGTTAATGATTTGAAAAATCAACGTCCTATTTTTAAATAATCTCGAAATAGATTTAATAGCATCCCACGTTGTTGACATGAACTTTTTTCTGTGAACTTTAAAATTTCGAGAATTTAGGCCATCATTTCTTCAAGGACACCGCCTCCTGAACAACGTTTTTTTTAGTGAAACACCGTAAAACCAAGATCATAATCATAATAAAAGTCGTAGAAAAATGTATCGTTTTAGATCTTAAAATCTTCGCTACAACATAAGCACATTCGCATTATTCTTCTATCAAGACCTGCAATAAGATCTTAGACACAGATTTGTAAAAGTTTGGTAGTACGTATCATAGACCTGCAGTTTGTTTTTTATGAGTTTTATTATACTAGCATTTCATACAAGTAATTATATGCGTAGGTTCTCAAAAGAGATTCCTTTTAAACAAGTATGCCACTATTTAAAAGTGCCTATAACTATTTAAAATCCTATTGCATGTGAAATTCTTACAGCTGTTTAAAACTATTAATAGTTAATAAACCTATTAAATAAACCCTCCGTTAGTGGACACTCCTCTATGGTGGACACCTCCTTATAGTGGACACTTTCAGGTGGGACGGAGCATTTTTTGCTGGGTTTAAACCTCTACCTAGTGCAGAGACTGGACAAGTACAAGTACAGCAAGTACAAGTGAAAATACTTGTTACTTACTAATTGTACTTTGAACTTTTACTCAAGTACAATTACTTAAGTACATTTGTACTGAGTACCGGTACTTAAGTGCAAATGTACTTAAGGAAAATTACCAAGTACATTTGAAACATTTATATGATCATCGATACATCAGTACTTGATACTTGTACTTAAGTAAATTTGTACTAGGTATCGGTACTTAAGTAAATTTGTACTAGGTATCGGTACTTAATTACATTCGAAAAGTACAAGTAAATTTACTTGTACTTCTAAAGTATACTTTGTACTTACGATTTTTAAGTAAAAAGTACGAAAATACTGAGTAATTGTACTCAGTATCCAGTCTCTGACCTAGTGGACACTCTCTTAAGTGGACTCCTCGCATAGCGGATACTCTCTTTTCAGTCCCTTTCATGTCCAATACCTCTTTATAGTGGACATTGATTTAAAATAATATAAATATTATTTGATAAATACGATCAATGATTTAAATTAATAAAACATTCTTTCATGAATACGACCAAACACATACTATATCATTGATATTCTTTGATGACACAAAAGACAGAAAAAAGAATCATCCGTCTGGTTGAATTGATGAAAAGAAAAAAGAAAACAATAGTGACATTGCTTTATTTGTCTCGTTTGATCTATTTGTCTTATTTCTAACTGTCGAGAAAGAAAAAGGATCATAATGTTTCATCGAAAAGCATTAACTTTGGAAGAAAAAATTGCTTTAATCAAGGATCATCAAAATGCTCATGGTTTGTCAGTTCGCGAACTGGCTGATAATTATAAAATATCGAAAAGTAGTGCTGCCAATATTCATCGTCAAAGTGAAGAACTTTTATAAATAATAAAATAAAATTTACATTTTAATTGGATTTTAATTTTAATAATAAATCTATAACATAGTTTCAATGTGTATTTTCTTCTATTGAAGCCATTTGATTTTCAATCATTAGACAATGATTTAATATGAAGAAAAAACGAATTTTAGTCGAAATAAATGATGTTCTCGTTGGTCAGAGTAGTGTGAGTGGCCGAGTGTGGTATTCGAATAGTCTGTATTGTAGGATTGGCGACGGAATTTTAGATTCATGCGATCAGGATGAATCACGTATATGTCGAATGGTTGCGTGGCAATCACTGTATTGTAGAATTTGTTACTGTTCTGCACTGTGATATGCTGATGAAATATTATTAGTTAGATTTTGTTTCGATATTTTATGTGTTGTGTCGTATGATTCATGCATGAATGGTTATTTTAATGTGTAGTGGAAATTAGGAAATAGTCTGAAATTTAGTCTGTTATGTTGTTTATTCTGCAAATTGTCGGTTCGATTCTGATGCATCCGCTTTCGTTAGTGGGACTAGAAATAAATGGTTTTTTCTAGATTGATGAAAGAAGGCTGATTTGTCGTACCGAGTGAGCTCTGATGTTTTGTTTGAATGAAGAGTGACGGATGGTGTAAAGAGTTGGATTTGTCGTAAAAGAAGTATTTTTTTAATTTTTTCTGTATTTAATAGCAATTTAGATTTTGAAAGAGCATTATAGTTTTATTATTGATTGTGTGTTTGTTAGTCTTCGACTGTTTTGTGAATTTTAATTTTCGCCAAAGATTTTAGTAAGTTCAATGATTTATTATGTATGAACAAGATCTTTACTTTCTGGTCTCTTCTGTTAGCACTATATCACTTGTCGTTCTCAAACGGTGTGTCTAGGTAGATATCGTGAAATTAAGAAATTTTCTTCTGGGAGAAATTTTTTTTTCGATCAGTTTTAGTTATTATTTTTGATTCAAGTGGTAAGTCACTATAGTAAGAAAGGTTAATATTCTAGTTTGAAAATTTTCTTTCTTTTAGGTACTACATAGTTCTCAAGAAAATTCACGATCACTTGTTTACTATAGTTAAGCACTGTTTGTAAGTTGTGCGTTGACTTCAAGAAAAAAATTCGGTAAGCAAATCTTGCTTGCCTTTCACTCACATAATTTTTATTTAAAAATGATGATTTTATTTAACGTTCTTCGTGGTTTTTGCTTTTTGCTGGTCGCTGCGATGCATTTTATATCTTTCTTCTGGTTTAAAATACAATTAATTAACTACAGAACTGTGATTAATATCTCTTTATGATCGTGCTTTATTTTAGATCCGTCGTAGCATATATTGTCTAATTTGTTATCGAAGAGATTTAATTGAATTTACTCAATCTATTGGTAGATAAGTTTTGAAAAAATATCTCTACATTTTTTTCTTTTTCAAAAATCTATTGTCACAGGTGTTGTCTCATTGTTTTTATATTAGCGTTGTTGATTTTGTACAAGGTATTCATACATTATTTTTAATAAGACATCTTTTTGAATACTGTAACCTTTCATAGGTTATCAATTTGATCTGTTAATTTTGGTTTAATACCTCCCAAGACATTGTCGACGTTTTAGTGAGTTGTACTGTGTCTGTATGATTTCAACTTGCATGCACTATTTTTTAGTATCAAACGCATCAAAATTAATTCATTATTCAATATTTCAACAATGAATTCCAAAGTCACAAATAATATTTTAGATACATCCATTAAACAAGTAATGCCTTTATCAATGAAAACGAGATTCATATTCATAAAGCAAAATTATGGTTATAATGCTTATAAAGCATATCAATATTATGAGAAAATTACTATTAAATTAGTTCACCTGTCAAGTGACTTAGAATATCTGAATAAATGCAGTTGGAACAACATTATGCCGAAATTTCTTCGATTTAAAGTTACAAATTCCATGTTATTGCACTCCAAAGCATAGAAAAAATGTCAACCTATTCTACTGAAAGAAGAGATAAATTTAAAAAAAAAGATTCAAAATATTTATCCATGTCAAGAAGAAACACATACGAAGCATTTGCAAATATTCTTCCACCAGAAATCATCACAAAAGTCAACCAAATTATTTCTAGAATTGAGTTTGAAGAACGACGTACTAAATATTGGAGACATTATAATAAATTACAAAGACTGATTTATGATAGAGACCAACAGAAACAAAGAAGAAATCAGAATATACTTTTTTCAATAGCATCTCAAGTAATGAAACGATAAATACAACTGAAAACAATGACGAAACCGAAAATAAATTAGTATGGAATTTTGCGAATCGTAATCTAAATGAAGAAGAACTTTGTGTATTAAAAAAAGGATTGTCTTATAACCGTCTAAGCACAATTAATCGCACTGAAGTAATATTCAACATTGAATATTTATTTCATCATGCGTCTAGTATTCAAAAAGAAGTAATTGATTTTAAAATGGGACGAAGAGTTCGATAATATTTCGAGCAAATAAATTCGAAGTTTAGAGCCACGACAGTTATCGCTAGCGGCGGATTTAAAAAATGCAACAGAGAGATTTTTACAACATGCCCAAACATCAATATAGACGAGAAGAAACAAAAATTTAACTGAAAGCAACGACGATAAAATATCATTAAATTTCTCCAGAGATACATCTATTTTGATTACTAAACCAGATAAAGGTCGTGGTGTAGTTGTACTTGATCGTAGTGATTATAGCGAAAATTTTGAGATCTAAAACGATACGTTTTTCTATGACTTTTATTATGATTATGATCTTGGTTTTACGGTGTTTCACTAAAAAAAACGTTGTTCAGGAGGCGGTGTCCTTGAAGAAATGATGGCCTAAATTCTCGAAATTTTAAAGTTCAC